GATCCCAGATCCTAGATCCTAGATCCTAGATCCTAGATCCCGCATTTCGATTGAGTGTAGTAGAACCAATCAGCCAATCAGGGCAAAGGACTATATATATCAAAATGAGCCAATGAAAATTCAAAGAAAGAACAAGCAAACTTCTAAAGCGCAGAAGACGCGAGCGTACAAGACGCAACTGGTTTAAGCTTTCCTTTTGATTGGTTGAGAGAAGTTGGCGCGAATTTTCCAAACCAATCACAGAGTGTGGTGTTGCACAACCAATACGATCCTGGTCACTTTCGACACACAATTAGAATTTGCTCAAGTATCTATCTATTTGAAGCATGTTTTGGGGGTCATCAAAACTTGAACTCTACCAAGCCAACAAACATAATCGGATTTCATGTTTGTCTAGCAGTCATTTACATCGCAATATCTAATTTATTGATTTGTTTCATTTATCTCCTATGGCAAAAATCTGGCAAAACGTAGTATAGAAATTACTCCCTCAAGCAGGGAATAAAGACGGATATCAATCTTAAAAAAAAGGGCCATTTTTTCCGAAGACGTGCATATAATATACATTTTCAGAACTTTAAACTCACCCACCACAGGGGAAAACTAACTTATCTGAGAATCCAAAATATTTTTCTGTTTCAGTTGCATGATGAAACTTTAGAGCATCCAATTACTGAAGCTACGATAGCAAAGAATTGTCCCTATTATCTTTGGTAATCTTTGTGAACCAAACCTCCTCCTGTCATTATTCCACTGATTATCAAATTGTAATATTTCATAGTCTTAATAACGTTGGCTATGATTGGCTCCTTGTCAAGACGTCTCTTCAGCTGATTGGTCAGAATACTGACGTTTGAATTAATTTTAAAAAATTGACACAAAGACTCGCAAAGCTTTGAAAAACAATAGAATTCAGTCTTTGACCGATATCGGGTTAGACAACTATTCGCTAATTGCATACAAAATCCTTTAAAATTGCCCAATATTGGCTTCGTTCATTTCAATGCTGCACAGGCAGAGGACGAAACATCAAAACATGCTACATATAATTTGATCGCAGTTACATTGCAATTAGATATAGCATATTTTCCCTTTGCAAATGTGCGCCGTGACTATTACATTCAAAATTATCAAAATTTCTGCACGGGGGATCATTTTTTTTGTCAAATGTTTCCTATAATGTAAAATTTTGCCTCGAGGAATCAAGGTTGATCTAAGACAAAAGTTGAAATTACAGTTTATACCTTGTACAACGACTACGTGTGCGTTTTGAGCAAACCACCACCACCTTCTCTTCAGTTATTTGGTGATTAATGGGGAAAATGTTGTTTTGTTGAAAGAAGCACGAAAACTCTATTTTCTCGCCGGTACGTGGCCAGAATATTATTCGCTTGTATGAGGGCTTGACGTTACATATTTAAACTACAGGCAAACAGTTTTGATAAATAGGGCACTTACGTACAGTCAAGACGGCGATGGATTCATTGCTTTTGCCTTCAGCTGAATTTCCATTTTTACGAAGAAAATTACTTCCACTCAATCAGCATATATTTTTTTCGCTTGGTATGTATATCGCCCCGTGTCTCTTACTTTATGCCACACATTTACTGACACATTGTGTTTAAAACTCATGACGTCTGCGGTTGTGATAAAAAATGAGTCCCAATTTGAATATTTAAGTGGATTAAAAACATTCTGAATTCGGCAGAAACGCCATTTCTCGCATATGGCGATAAATCAACCGGAGTTTATGATCGATGGTTTGCGTCACAGTGGGCAAATTGATAACGAAAAATTCCTAACCGATTTAAATATCTGGGGTGAGAATTTCTCTGAACTTCTTGAACAAACGCAGATGAGCAAATATTGGCCTAGTGAAAGATAACCATTTTTTTACGTCGAACTTCAGACATTTCCCCACAAAAACTAGTCATCGCCAAAGTATGTTTTTTCTGAAGAATCGAGGCACAGATAATAGAAGCCCTTGAACTTATACGGTCGAAACAACTCTTCAATATTGCATTTATGTTTTTAGGATATTACAGATAGCGCAGTTGAAAAATTATTCCCTGATAATCGTATTTTTGCCAACGGTAAATTTGTGCAGGTGGAAGCTGATAATTGATTACGACGAGCGCAACTTCTTCCTGTCAAAATCCAGTCTAATTAGCCTCATACAACAGACATTTCGCACGTTTATCCCTTATTACGTAGATTCTGTTCAGATAAAAGTATCTCGGTTATTAATCGAGAAGCGATCTGGCCTTCTATTCATCAACATGTCGAGATAAGAAAACAATTTTTAAAAGATGGCTCGTTTTTGCTCTTTTTTTTCGTCATTTTTCAGTGACGACTCACTTGTTTGCGGCTTATTCCCCGACTAGATGATGCACTTAAGCCATCCCCAAATTATAATCATCAACAATATGTCTGGAATGGAAAATTATATTTATATATTTATTAAAAAAAAAAAAGTCAGTGATTCGCACACGAAAAGCAGAACTTCTTTTTTGACTACTACGGCGCCTGTACTTTTACTTTCTTTTTTAACAAAACGAAACCAATTTTAGAGTTTTAACAGCCAATCAGAGCAAAGAATCACCAACACACCTGACCAATGTGAATTGCAATGGCAAAGCGCGGGAATTCTGGAATGCAGGAGGCTAATTCGCGAGAAAAATTTGATTCTGCGTGACAGTGATTGGTTAAATACTTGATGCGCGATTCCGATTGGAGCACTACTACTTGTTGTGCAGGGGGACTTACGCGTGACCGCCTGAATTCTTTGAATAAAATGAAGTGAATGGGACTACCAAAAGCTTTATATTGTCATAATACGGTGCAATAAATATATTTTTACCAGAGATGTTGTGTATTATTTTCCCCTAAGATGAAAACGGCGAATTTTAACGATTTCAGGGGTTGGCGTTGGCTTTCAACTTGAACGTTAGTAAGGTAACATATAGTATGGAACGCTTTCTATTTGTAAGGAAAATCCGATCATTTTCTGATGGAAAGAAATGGAAAAAACCTTTCCACTGGAAACTCTTCTGAACGAAAACAAACAAACAAAAAAAAAAACAAGGATACATGGATCGGAGGTATTCCTCTTTTCTTTTTCAACTACGACTACAGAAAACTTTGCATATCAATTTATCAATCGCACCATGGCCATGCTTCATGACAAACAAAGTTTCTCAATGCAGTGTAAGTTGATAGTCATGTCATCAAGTTTCCAGGGCCAGAGGAGACTGTATCAGTCCCTTTCCTTCTAGATTGAAAAATATATCACAATATCATTTTTGACGAGAACCTACCATCGCTTCTTCTATGTACGAACTGTGAAGTCATCATTAATTAGCACAACTCATTAGTATGTAAATAGACTTGGTGCCAAGCCTAACACTAAGCTTCCGTTTCCCATAGAAGGCGCGGTAACTCAGCACTTGAAGCGACCGTCTTACCAAACATACAAACTGAAATTGGAAGAAGTAAAAAAATCTGTGAAGTTATTCGCTTTATCTGATTTTACAAGATGGTGAGTAATATATTCGAGGATTTTGATTTATTAGACCGGATTTTTCCGAATTTATCAAAATTTAGCAGTCTCAAGAAACCATATGTAAAGATGATTCAGCTGATCATGAATGGTTGTGTTTCCGACCTTAGTTTGGGTTTGAAATGTTTGGCAGCGTGCCTAGGACATTCAACACACACTTTCGTTGCTATTCAGTCGTTATGTTTCCGGGAAATGAGAGAGATGACGTGGAACGCGGCGGCAAAAGTAAGTAAATCACGTACAGTCATACATGTACAACATGATATGTGGGGAAGTCAATCTGTTACAATTTCTTGCCTGCACGACACTGTACCTAGTGTTAACTTTATAGATCTAAAAAGAAACACTTAAACCCCTAAGAGTGACAACCATCTAATTTCTCCCAATAGTATCTCCCCTGACAAACATTAAGGTCTTGAGAATAAAGGAAATGATTGCGAACTCGACAAGCTCTTGATTGTAAGAAAAGTTCTTGTATGTACCATTGGAAATGAATAGAGAACAATATGCCCAGAAACAAAAGCTCGGCAAGAGTACCATATAACCCCATACATTAATTATGCATTCAGACTAGTAGACTTTGTTTTTAAAGTTTTGTCGTGAAAGACAAAGAAGTGGAATGCATAATTAATGTATGGGGTTATGTATATGTGCACGATCCTTCGCAGTAAAGCACTATTTAAGCAATAGTGAAAATCAAACCTGAAAAAAATTCAGGCCTGTACGGGATTCGAACCACTGACCTCTGCGATACTAGTGCAGCGCTCTACCAATTGAGCTAACAAGCCAACTGGCAGCAGGCCATCAAATTAATTCGACATAAACCCGTAAGATGATAAATCAAACAACAAACATATGAAATACATATATATGAACTGCGGTTATGAAACGTATATGTGCACGATCCTTCGCAGTAAAGCACTATTTAAGCAATAGTGAAAATCAGACCTGAAAAAAAAAAAAGGGTTTATGTCGAATTAATTTGATGGCCTGCTCCCAGTTGGCTTGTTAGCTCAATTGGTAGAGCGCTGCACTAGTATCGCAGAGGTCAGTGGTTCGAATCCCGTACAGGCCTGAATTTTTTTCAGGTCTGATTTTCACTATTGCTTAAATAGTGCTTTACTGCGAAGGATCGTGCACATATACGTTTCATAACCGCAGTTCATATATATGTATTTCATATGTTTGTTGTATGGGGTTATATGGTACTCTTTTCAAAAGCTCTCCTTCAGGGGCCTTTTCACCCTACTTTGTGCTTTATGTAACTGCTAAGAGAATGTGGACTGTTGCGATGTGATTTAGGAAGGTTCCTGCATTTGCCTCTTCAATCATACAATTGACTTCATATTACATTTTTTTATTTAACATTTACTTATTATTTCAGTTATAATGCCTCCCTCAGCCTTGGATCAACTAAGTAAGTCTGTTCTGGAGATAGAATCTAGGAATTTCATCTATCCAGGGAAGAATCAGAATAAAAAATATTTAAGCTTTTGTACACTGGATAAGCTTATCTAAAAAGTAAAAGCTTTGGGCTAGACCTCTAGCCTTGATCACTACAAGTGATCAAAAGTTCAAATATTTTTTATTCTGTTCTGGAGGTAATTTTTTAAGTGTATGATAACCAGATTACAGTAACACACATTTCTATTGGTTCTTAAGAGCTTTTGGAGAACAGACGCTTAAATTTAGTGTCATCATAATAATTATACAACATTTTGCTTTTTTACCTCATGAAACAAATATATTCTATGTTGTGGCAAGTCTCAGTGCATTAATAGATCACAAGAGACATCAAATTATGGTAAGAGGCTGTGCCTTGTGTGCCACTTTTTTTTGTTTTTACCTGATTTTGATGTCATTTTTATCTATTGCTCTACAGACAGAGCAATATGGAATCTATTTGTTAATAATTATGTGCATGGTTTTCTGGGTGACAGTTAGTCTAGCCTCCGGACCTTAAATATATATATCTTATTAGACGTTTTGTTGTGTAGTATTGCTGAGTATTTTTACGAGTTGTGCCGTATTTTGATGAGCCCATTGGGCGAATCAAAATATGAACAATGAGTAAAAATACTCAGTGATACTACAAAACAAAATGTTTAAGGAGATGTTTTGTCTCTTTCCTTTTAATTATGTTGTTCCTTGGTCTTTTATTATTATTATTATTATTATTATTATTTGTAACGTACCTTAATATAAATTCAAATGTACAACCGTTAAAAGCTCTTTTGCAACTGAAGATGTCATGAGAATGTCGAAACATGTCTTGTAAATCTAAACTCAAAGTTGAAATCTATTATCCAACAGGCCAAATTGTTATTCAGTGTGGGTGAATTTTGCAGATATTTCTGGAGTACAAATATCACGTGATATTTGTACTTGTCTTGTGCGTTATTTGTACTCTAAGAAGCGCAATTGGATGATAATCATTAATAAGTAATAAAGTATATTTTTCGATTTTTTTATTCAATGTACATGCTTTAAACAGATTTGCCTAACTTTACTGATGTTTCAAATAATTTATCATAATTGACGCAGTATGTATTGATTGATGCAGTATTTACTTAGAATAATTCTGTCTGATTGTGATTTACAGCCAGACTTCACATCGTTTATCCAATGCTCTTCAAATTGTCCAGTAATAAATCAGGTAGAAATACTCATTGCGGGGTACTGGAGTTTGTTGCTGATGAAGGCAAAATTTATCTTCCTTACTGGGTTAGTAATTAAATTTGATCATTCTAAGTGAATTATCACTTGTAAACTGATTTCAACATATTTTTCCCTTGACCTTTCCTTAAAAGTTTTGTGTTGCATAATGGTCAAGTCTATATTTTTGTCTTTTATTTAAGATGATGCGTAATTTACTGCTTGAAGAAGGTGGTCTGTTGCAGGTGGAGAGTGCATCTCTACCTGTTGCATCATATGCTAAGTTTCAACCACAGTCAGTTGACTTTTTGGATATCACCAACCCAAAGGCAGTGTATCCTTTATTATTTAAAACTTAAGGCTTTCATAATTTTTTTTTTGAAGTGCAAGTTCATGATAAGTGAAAAAATACTGCTGCTTTGAAATTTAGATAACCGTTAAAACAAGAACCATGTTTTTTTTTCAAGATTAAACTAAAGGCCACAGTGGCCTTCACTTGGGCTTCCCTCTTTAATGGGGTGTTACCAGACAAAGTAACACAGTAACAAGTGTGCTCTTGTACACAAGTGATTTTGTGACTTTTTGGATGCTTTTGGAGCAATCTCATAAAATGATACCAAAAAAACCTCACCTTTAACATGCAAATCTTCATCATGAAATTTATTTTGAGAGTATATTCTAACAATTGTTGAACAGAAAAGTTAGAATTTAGGTACAAACCCAACACTGTTGTGAATAGTTTCCATTGTTTACGACCTAACGTGAAAAACAAGCTGAGAAATGAGTTGAAGGTCATTGGGTGATTCATTTGATTTAATTAGACAAAAGTTTCCCTGACAAATAAAATAGCTTAGAAAATGCGCTCAGATCCTTTGCTTGTCTTACGAAAGGTGATGTAATTGCAATCAAGTACAATGACAAGGTGAGTAAACAATAGGGTTCTTGCACTGATTTTTTTTTATTATTTTTTTTGTAATCATTCCTTAGTTCTTTTCCCTATTTTGTTCTGTAAATGGGCCACTTTTGGTAAAGGCCGGGCTCAACACTAACAGTAGCCCACTGGCCACAGACTAGTAGAAATTCAGTTTTGGCTGGTGGTTTTCAATTTCCACAAAAGCCAGTTTGCCTAGTAAACAGACTGAAATTGTCATAACATCTAAAAACATCTAAGATGTCACTAGCCACTTGGCTAGTAAGTTGAAAAGTTAGTTTTGAGCCCTGTAAAGGGTAGTTATTGAAATTTGCCAGTTGTTACTAATGCTCTCAGATCATTATTCAGTAGTTTACACCCTAATATTATCAGTATGTGTATTCTTCTCCATACAATTCCTAAGATGCTGACAGGAATTTGAGAATTTGTTTAACAATTGAGCTTGTTTTACAATTGAGCTTCTTTTAGTTGCTGATCATTTTCCTTTATTCTTCTTACCTTAGTTAATATTTGATTCAGAGGTGATATTATAAGGAGAAATTAGATGCTGATCACTCTTAGGGGTAAAGAGTTAATTGGAATGCAATCTCAAAAAGATTTGTATTTTCATAAAATTTATCTATTAACAAGAAAATTTACCAGTATTTCGTCTGTTGGTTTGCAGATCTATGAATTCTTAGTGCTTGAAACAAAACCTGGAAATGCAGTGTCCATTATTGAGTGTGATATGCAGGTACAAACATTCTTGAAAGGTTTATTAGACTAAGTGTAACTTATTTAGTGTGTACTACCCAGGCCACAAAATGATATACTTGTTACTGACTACATGTACATGTTTACTATCCCTCAGGTTGAGTTTGCCTCCCCTGTTGGATATGTGGAACCAGAAAGGCAAGAGAAAAAGGCTGAGAAAAAGGAAGAGGAGGTTAGAAATATGAATCAGTTCATCAATCTGTCAGTCAGTCAGTAGGTTGGTCAATCCTGTCAATCAGTCAGTTAGGAGTCAGTTATTCCATTGGTGAATCAGACAGTCACACACTCACTCAGTTCATTAGTTAGTCTGTCATTTAGTCAGCTAGACTAACCCAGTCAATCAGTAAGTCAACCTGTCAGTAAGTCAGTTAGTTGGTTCATTAGTAAGTCAGTCAGTCAGTAAGTCAGTTGGTCCCTTAGTAAGTCAGTAAGTCAGTCAGTCACTCAGTCACCCAATCAGTCAATCAGTAAAGCAGTTAGTCCGTCAGTCAGTAAGTCAGCCAGTCTGTCTGTAAGTAAGTCAGTAAGTCAGTCACTAAGTCAACCAGTCATTCAGTCAAGTATTCAGTTAATAAGTCAATCACTAAATCTACCGCTAAACAACTTTTTGGCGAATTATAGAATGAATGACCCATGAAAAACCTTGTAATTGGTCGGATGGAGTAAAGGAACACGCAATCAAAATAACAAATGAAAAAACAACGTAATCACTCTGCATGAGGAAACTTACAACCTAGGGTAAATTCATGGTAACCTAGAAAAGCGATAGTTGCTAAAAGGAAAACAGGACCGTAATGCGAAAGATGTCAAGTCAGAGGATGTAGTAGCAAGATCAAAAAAATAAATTAGCCAGCGAGCGAATTAGTAAATGCATAAAACCCCGAACGAAGCATACAAGGTAAAAAAAATGCACAAGAAGTAATCATTATCGATGAAATTTGTGCTCATAACTCCGCTCAGCAGCTACTTTTCGTCTCTGATTTCTGTTAGCAGGCTGATGTATCGCATGTGGATCATGGTTTCCAGGTAACTTTTGTTGTAGTTTTGGATTCATTTCATGATACCATAGTTTATAGAATGTGATAACCTCCAAGAGTCATATTTTCTTGTTGCATATTTTATAGAGGATATTACATGACCGCTTGGGGATACGAATTTTATCTTCGAGTCCTGAAAGTATCTCTCACGAGTAGGCTGCGCTCACTCGTGAGAGATACTTTCAGCACTCGAAGATAAAATTCGTATCCCCAAGCGGTCATGTAATGTTCTGTTTATTATATAGATACTGATAAAATTTCCACATAAAAGACATCTTTTCTTATTCATTTTCGAAACAGCAATTGAGTAATTATGTAAAATTTGTAACAACTGACTTACTGAATGAAAACCCTGGTTTGGATTTGTGTTTCTTTGCTGGTCCGGAACTTTTGTTTTGAATAATTAAGCTGCAGAACAGGCGTATCTTTTATTTATTTTTTTTCTCTTTTTGCCTTGATTAGGCGAGCCGAGTTTTGCACGAGGCTCGCCTTTCACGCTTTCCCCAGCCATACCCGCTTGGCGCGTGTGTCTGCATGAACGGCTGAAAAACGCAAAAAATTAATTGTCACTTCTTTTTCGACGTTGAAGGCTTTCACCGGTTCAGGATTTCGCTTGGACGGGAAGAAAAAGAAGTCAAATGTTCCGTCCAATCCGGTGCCAATTGGTCCTCCTGTAATAAAGCGGTATGATTTGCGTTTTTGTTTAGAAGCTGCACGATTTGACTTTCCTCTTTCTTTACCTTGGCTATGCTATTTGTGTTTCAGGGGAATTCCTAATTACGATTTCGAAAAAGGGAAGATTACCTTCAAAAGGAATTTAAACAAAGCGAACAACTCACAGGTAGATCTATGAATTAGCAATTCACCGCAATAATATCTGTCTCATTTTGTGTAGATTTTAGCTCTGTCCGGCCACGCACGGCGCGTTTTTGTCGTTGTTTTTGATGTTGTTATTTTGATGTTCATTTTCGGTAAAGGCGGTTGAGTTTCAAGTCTTTTAAGCGAGGGAAACTTCTCTCTCTTTGTTTTGTTTGTTATTGTTTTTGTTGTCTGTTGTTGTTGTTGATTTGATTTCTTTTTTCTTATTGTGTCACTTTCCCTTTCTTTTTTACAGTCGAATAATAAGGGAGAGTCTAGTAAGCCAGAATTTGAAGCTTTTACAGGGTCAGGAAAAACGCTCCGACAAAAGAGGAAAAATTAGCCGTATAAAAATGAGCATTTAGGGAAACTGTAAAGAAATACATAGGCGAATGTTCTTCGCTTACGTCCCACTAAAGCTGTTTGCAGAATTGAAGTCAAAAGTTGCTCTCGACTTGTGGAAATCTGTACGACACGATTAACATTGAAGAGAAATGAGCTATTTATGTACTTGTAGTGTAAGCAAATTAGTTTTCAATGAAAGAGCTCAGTTTTGGAGCGTGATTGTGGTAAACTGGTCTGATAAATTGGTCTTTCTACCAATTCAAGGAAATGACAATTAAACTTCGACTATATCGATTTCCCTTCATGCATCATCAGAACATTGACATTCTGCTTTTTCAAACTTTCTAAAATATTAGTTAACATAAATGCTTTACTGTTTATATTATTTGATGCAAGTTATTCTGTTAGGTTTTAAAAGTTTATTTAATAAAGTTAGCGACAACTGGCATTTCTCAAGCTAAAGGCAAGGTTTACGAAGGATACTTTAATACATGTTTTAAAATCCCCGTTGACTGAATTGAAATCTAAGGGGAAAGACGCTACAGTGAAATTATTTCCCTCACACAGTAGTTACTTGGAACCTTAAGCAAACCACGGCGGCGACGGCAACGAGGTCGAGGCAGAACAAAGGATCTAATGAGCAGAACAATAGCTCAGAACGGGCGTTTTAAAACTTTGTACATTTCTTAGCCGTCCGTGAAATCACCAAAATTTGCGTAGTCTGGGAACATAGACCCTAGCAGACAGAAAATTAATCGAGTTGCCATTTGGAAATGAACGCAGCTCCCATGCGTTATGCTGAAGTTTAAGGTGTGGCGCTGTAAGAGACGTTAATAAGCATGTACAAATTCATTTTTCAATCGACGTCTCCCTCGGTGTTGCCGTCCCGACAGCTCAAGGTACCTACCTAACAACCAGTTGAGGACGGATGCAAATCTTTCCTTCAGATATATTCGCATATTTCTCTGATATAAATAAGATAAATGACTCAACGAGTGATCATAAGCACTCTGTTAATCCTCTGTTTTTACTAGCTCTTCACATGGCAGTCAACCGAGGAAACGAAATACCCCCTTCACATTTTTAGCGCTAACTCGTCCCCAATCGTCTCTCTTCCTTACAGAGATGCAAGCGGGTAAAGGTGGGAAGGCATTTCTCTTTCAACTTCCTTCTCTTCGTTTTTTCATCGCGGTAGTTAGTGGTGCTCGTTTCCTTAGACCGTGGGTGAAAAAGTTACAGAGGACTAAGACTAACTCGTCTCTACTTTACAGATACGCGAGCGGGGAAAGGTGGAAAGAACGTTTCTTTTTCAGCTTCCTTCACATTGTTCCCTTTGTCGCGGTAGGCGGTAGTGCTTGTCTCCTAAGACCGTGAGTGAAAATTAAGAGAGGACTAGGGATTAGTCAGTTACTCAAATTTGAGGCCCACGGGCTCAAGCATTCTCATTTGCCCTCCTACCTTAGCTGGTAGCTTGATCCGCAATAGCCATTCGCTTGACGATGGATAGAAGGAAACTACTTAGAAAACAAATAGCACCACCCTATTCAAGGAGTTTACGTGATTTAGGAGAGTTGGTAATAAATTTAACACCAGACTACAGAATGCAACATAACTTTAATAACATAAATAGCATTTCATGCGTTGCATCTTTCGTTCTTTACTAAACAGAGAAAAAAATCTATTCCTACAACGCAATTCTCCCTTCGAAAGAGTTGATCATCCCTGAAAGGAGGGAACGTTTCTTGAAAAAAATTTCTCGAAAATATTGGTATTGACACGATAGTCACAGGCAAACAAAATAGTTCAACGCTTCAAAATATCCTCAGCCCAACTTTGGTTACTTCAATCACTGAACGTTTTATATACGAGACTCCACTTCTAGGTACTGATGCGTTTCGTCGGTAAATCATGCAGTCAGTTCAACGAATAAGTTTTATAGAGCAATTTTCAATTGCGTGTCTGAAACAATCCAAGATTTCATTAATTCGCTCTGTGATTGGTCTAAAAAACTAACGCCACTCTCTCGACCAATCAGATTCAAAACAAAAACCAAACGCGATTTAGTCCCTCACGCTTTCCCGCGCTTTTGGCAGTTTGCTTGTTTTACTTCAAGTTTTTACTGGCTCCTCGTTATATTTCCCTTCCTATGATTGGCTATTATGATCGATATTATATCTATGATCGGTTTACGACACATGATAAAAAAGTGCTCTATTCACGTTGATCATGGTCACTTAAATGTGATAAGTTGTTTCCTAAGAATTACTAATAAACAAAGATCTACATCCCATCGTTAGAAAAACTCCTTGGTTAAGTCTTCAGATTGCAAATCAAAAAAAACTTGCTTTAAAAAAATTATTATTTACAATGGTCTACTGTCAGTTTTCTGCTACTGTACAACAGAATTTCGCGTTGTAAACAAAACATAAGTCAAACGTTCCCTGAAACAAAACGCTGCATTAATCTACGATATCAATTCTTTTCATTCCCAAGACTGAATCAAAAGCGTCTATCACTTCCAAACTATAATTTCAAAGATGACAGGTCGAGGAGAATTGGCCAATTAACGTTAGAGCGCCTGCAGTCCTTTTCTGAGCGGCTTGAAAATCACGGATTCAAATAAATAATTGGTAAAGGCCGAGCTTCGAGTTTTCTTACGTTCCTCCTGTTTCAAAAGCCCTACAATCCCCCATTCCTTGCGAACCAGTGTAGTCGGATAACGTGAAAATGTCTTCTAGGAATTTACCAGCGAAAGAAAGTTTTAAAAATGATTACACTTTATAATTCCTCCATCTTCCTTTAAGTTCGATATAGATTGTTCAGTTGGGAAAAAAGGGCCCTCGTCTGTGGCTTGCCTTGTGGGAGAACGAATAAAGGGTCCTTGCAGGTTCTGCTCCGGACACTGGCCAACGGATAACCGTGATTCTAGCTGAAGCATCCTCCCAACCCACAGAATTGTACCATTATCCTCTCCCGAACTCTGCTTCTCGCGCTGTACCCCCCCTGATCGGGTTCGTTGCCTCCCCAAGTCCAACTCTAGCAGCTAAGTGTAAAACGAACCAAACAGAGTCTTCTTTCAGATTAGAAGTAGTCACTTCTGTCCAACGGTCCCGCATTGCTTCCGGCGCGCCGGTGCATTTTAACTATACAAATATTCCTAAGCGACTGACAGCAGTCGTCAACCTACGTTACACATCTGTGGCCTCTCTGGAGTCTATTTCGTACGGGGGAGGCGGTTCATTTGGTGTAAAGGGAGGGGAGGCGTAGTGTGGTTTTCTGATACTGTATCTCCCTCGGCCAGGGGTGTAAGGGGGAGGTGGTTCGATTCCATCACCATTTTCTTCTTCAATTACAGCAAGTCTGTTGTTCAGCGGTCCTGTAAACAAAAAATGAGATAAGAGGATATTAAGTCGTTTTGGCCTCGCTACTTAAACAACCTCTGTGGTTTTGACATCATCAATTGGAAAAGCTTTATAGATCATGAAAATAAATTTTGACGACTATTCCTTTGAAAAGTTAAATTTCCCGGGAGACCACGTCTCCGATCACGTAAATCACATCTTTGATTGCCGTGTTGCCAGCATGGTTGTCCTGATAGTGTAGTGGTCATCACACCTGACTAGTAACAGGGGGACGTGGATTCAAATGCCGCTCAGGGAAAATTTTCTTTTCAAACATTTATTCTATTTAAGCATGATTACTTGGGGTGTACAGGGTCAGGGTTTCCCTCGTATACAGAATATATATATATATATGCCTTGCTATTGGGACTAGGGACAAATAACCCTTTTTACCTTAACATCACTGTGCTTATTCTCTCTCCTGTTCTCTAAAAATTTAGTAAGGTTCTGACGAGGAGAATCTGTTTAACAATCAAGAGCTTGTTTAGTTGCTGATCATTTCCTTTATTCTCCTGACCTGAATGTGTGACTCAGGGCTGGTATTGTAAGGAGAAATTTTATTGAAGTCGCTCTTAGATGGTCAAAAAGTTAGTCACACAAAGATACTTCACTTACTCGGTCTTAAATTTTGTGATTGCTCCAGGACTTCACTTCTCCTTCGATTTCTTTGATTTTTCTTACGGTTTCTGTCGATGACGAACACCAGGAGTATAAGCAGCAGTACAAGTCCCACTGATAAACTGATGATAATGGCCAACTCTGCTGCCTCTGAATTAACACCTGATGCAGAAACAGAGAGAGTGAATAAAAAAAATAAATTAAAAGAAAAATCACGAATATCGTAGAGTTATGCACACTTCCATCCCTCAAATACATCTTGTTAAAAAAGGGGGTAAGTTTCTAAAGAAAAAGTGGTGCAGCGTCAGTAAGGGGTATAACAAGATAATTTGGTTTTATCAACTGGGTTGGTAATGTTAACTGGCCGCCGTAAAGAGTTTCTGAAGATAACGCTCATCCTAACGAAGGGCTAACACTCGAATCCTCAGCTGTAGAAACCATTCAAAGTGGCCAAGTTTACATTAAAAAACCAAATTATCTTATTAAACTCGACCCTCTGTGTCTAAACTGACAAGACCCCCCTCTAGCTGCTACACATTCCCTTGTAAATTAGTCAAAAGAATTTGGTGTTTGATCCAGATAACAACTCTTGTCTGATAGGTTTAAGTACACGTATTCTTGTCAACAGTTGGCTGGTCCACGTGTGGATATTATAGGGAGAAGTTTCATGGCAGTTAGAGGGTTAAATCAAACAATATTCCCTTTCTATCATCGCAGCACCATTCTGTTTATGAATGTACTGATACAGTAAGGAAAAATGCCTTTCAATCAAATGTATTCCTTCTAGAGGTAGCCTATCTGTGGCCGTACCCTCCCCATCCCTGGGGGGGGGGGAGGGGAGAAAATAATGGAAGACAGGGAACTTTCTGTTTCTCCTCAGGGGAAGAGGGTACAGCTACACATAGGCTATGAGCAGGCTGGAAAATAACTCTGACCAATAAAGATCAGACAAAAAAGTATTAATTAACAATTATTGGATGAGGTTGAGCATGACAGCAATAATTATCAAGGCCAAAGTTTGTGTTATCTACTGATGCAAAAGGCCGAGGTGGATAACACAAACTGAGGCCTTGATAATTATCGCTATTATGTGAAAACCAAATCCAATAATTGATTTATTATGCATATTCTTGAGCTATACTTGTAAAGACAAGAACGCATAAAACTATTGTCTGTAGCTATGATGTCACATCTACATATATAAAATCTATTGTCTGTTGGTATGATGTAAGAGAATGGATAATAAATAAGATTATCAATCTCAGTGGGGTCAACTGGTGTTCATGATGGAATTCGGCCCATGGTATGAGGTGACTAGGACTGTAAGTGCACTACACAGCCCTCTTTACCCTTTAACCTTCAGAAATGATTAACTTCTAACTTCTCCTTGTGATTCCAATATGCTCTCTAGCCAACAGGTAAGGAGAATAGACAAACTTATCAACAAGAGCACAGTAAGCTGTTAAAACACAAAGAGCCCTGTCTAATGTGCAAGGAACTGTCAGGCAGTCAGTAGCCTCAGGGAGAAACACTCATGGGTTCAGGGGTTAAGAAGATTATTTATATAATCTCTCAAAAGCTATTTTTTAGCATTTCATCTGGTTACCCTGACAGGTTGCCAGCATACATGTATAATCTTGTGCATCTTATCCAAAAATAAAATACAATGACCCAGACCTTAGATAGTATTAATACTCTCAATTAATTTTTTTCAGACCTACAGGCAACACAATATTTTTTTCTACACATTCCTCAGAAAGTATTTATGAGTCCACACTAGAGTATTAGTGAAAAAATAATGCAAGTATGTTCTTTACAGACTGATTCCAAGAGACTTCATATGCTCAGTTCCAATATTCACAAGAGAAAGAGAAAAAACAAGCGCACTGACAAATATCCTTGATACTAGCAAAAACAGATTATGCTCAGACACACAAGTACACTTGTCTATGATTTTAGGTACAATTTAAGTTTCATGTGATGGTAGATCAAGATACTCAGGGCAAAATTATAGAGGGATCATACCTCCCTCTTAGCAGATCAGCCACACAGTCTAACACTTAGTAAAACCAGGTTTACCTGAATTAAAGTCAGCGATAGTCAACTGAAAAACTAAATTTTACACTGTCTTGGGGCTCAAGTACTCGCTTACTTTTATTTTTACTGTACTAAATTTGAAGTTGACAAAGATCAGCTTCAATGAAGAAAACAATTTCCAACAGTGATTGACAAAACAGCTTTAAAATATGTTTTAGCTTTGGTGTGATTGAGGTATAAGTTTCAAACGGGAAAAGTCTGAGATACCCACACTAAACAATGTAAATAACAATGTTGAAAATTTCACTAATAGCCTTAACCTGTATGTATGAGAAACTAAGTAATTTAAAGGCACTGTGCATGTTATCAAGTGAACTAACCTGAAGGGCATGTATAAGCACAACATTTGCCAGGTACAGCTTTGTAGTCCTCGCATGTTGGCACTGCACATTCTGTGGTAAAACACTGTCCTGCTTGTCCACTCAGACATTTGCAGTGGTAACAAAAATCATTTCCCTCAGGCACAAATGGTTCTCCGTGTTGAACCTTGTTGCCATTAATGTCATAACAAACTGCTTCTGTTGAATTAAAATTAAAAAAAAAAAAAGTTCAATTTAGTAACAAACCCCTGAATTGTTCTTATAATTATTTAATATTGAATTAAACAACAACGTAAAATTACCATACACTCAGAAAAGAAACTTTGAAATTGAAAATGTACTCAAACTTAGGGAAATATAGCTTTGCAAGCATGTACTTATTAAAAAAATTTGTCTAAAGCGAGAAGATTTTTGCAAACAAAGGAAACCAGGGATGAGTTGAAAATAAAAGTGAAAGTTCTTTTATGATAGTCTCCCTATTTATAGCAACTTTAATTTTCAGTTATTACTTGCATGCCAGCCACATACAAGTTAACAGTGTCTTTTAAGTGAACTTTCACATGGCAAGACAAGAACCTTAAAATTCAAGTAAGGCTTAAAATTGAAACCTGCACCATAAGCACATACATTCCTAAACAATAATAATGAAGAAACATAACAGTATTTCTGCGAGAGAATAAAATCTCACACATTTCCAAAAAATACATCACATTTGAACACACCATACGAAAAGAAGAGATAAAGAAATTGCATTTTGACGATGCCATTCATAGTGTTTTGAGCAAGTTGAAAAAATTTTTCAAAATGGGAACTAACATATATTCTACAAGCATGTTCCTCAGTTGAATTCAATGAAATTGAAATTCCTTCACAAAACCAACAGGTTTGTGGCATAATTATCACCACATCTTCTAAGAAAAAAGACTTTTACCATGTAGATCTGTCATATACGGCACAGATTGGATGGATAGCATTACATATATGATAAATAAAACTAACAAGACATAGGAGATGTGGTGGAATTCTTGAAGTATTTCTCTCTTGCTAAACTTACATCCTGACTTTTATCAAAGTAATTCAAAACACATGATTTTAAAATATCCATCACAAAGTCACAAGATGCTAGTACTTAGAACTGTATAACATTTTTCAGAAATGAAATATCAGCATCTCGTGATTTAGAACTGCAGAAGCTCAGCAAAGAACCCAAACACCCCAAAACTACATTGTCTATTTAGGGATTTGAATAAGAATATTGCTTAATGGAAGATTATTTCTAAATACCACTGATATTACCAGAAGTCATTGCTCTTCCAAACTGTTTCCAAATTTCAAACAAACATCCTCAAATCTTCAAATTGTCAAAACTGCACCTTTGAAAGCGAAACTACAGCAGTTGACCAGAAAAAAACATTCCCACTTTAACGCCTGCCTGATAAAGTCATAGCTATTTCCGATCACTAGGATGTCTTTGACCTTTCAAAGTTAAATGAAAATCTGAGGGCATGAATTTCAAACATGCATCACTGATAATATTGGCTGTTACAAAATGTGCTTGAGGCAGATAGGATTTAAAGTGAAATTTCTGTCTTCTCTTGGAATGGTTCCAGAATAATTTGTAAGGTAGTATTGCACTTTTGAGTCAATATAGAAGGATTTGCCCACACTTGCTCATGCAACAGTAAATGATGATAAGTTTTAACATTCTTTTGTTGTTTTTAATGTGTTATTGTCTTGCAACAATGACCCCCACTGAAACAGAAGGAATGTTTACAAAGTATATATCTGATATGAAAATATACCACACAAGATTACAGTTCATTCTACAGTTCAAGGTTTCTATTGTGCTTTGTAGATGCTCCTAAATAGAATTATGCCTCAGGGAAGATGTCTAAATTCAATTTATTTCCATGCGGTCAACGAGTTCCTGTAACCCAAATCAGTTGCCCTACCCCCACTTGAGCTAGCTTAACTTATTCCATGGCTCAATGCACAGGTATTTTCCCACGGTGGTATGCAAATTCAGAAGCTTAAACGATTATCAAGTCATGTTTTTATTGATTTATTTTTTTTGTGGTATTTATTGCCAATCAAACACATTCCTGAATTTTTATCTGCTCTTGGTCAACAAGATAAAAGTGCGGCTGTTAAGCAGGAAATGGCCTTAGGTGGTGTTAGCAGACAAGGAATTTTCTATGATGAATGATCTGAACCTTGATTGGCAAATTCATGTGACTATTAAATTTTATCATCTACATTTAGCCCTATCATCAACATACAAATTCCTCTAAACTGTCAATATTTTCTTATAATTTTCAAATCAAAGTAATTGGTGGAGTTTTGTAGTAGGTCAAGTCATTTAGGGATCAGTTCTTGAATATATCTCACAACCCTTTCTTGTGATTAACAGTTTATTGCTTACATAAGGAAAAATTTAACTGTGATCACTCTGGGAGATAAAAAAGTTAACATTATTATATAGGGCCTATCCACACTAACAGACAAAACTAGAATTGTCCAAACAAAATCAAAGGATAAACTTTATCATGACAAATTTTTGTCTCTTCTGTTACACCCGCACTAAAAACATTGAAGCTATTACAGCTGTCAAATTCGGTTAACACCAAAAAATAACATCGATACCATATTTCACTGTAATTTAATCAATGTAGCTGTTTCCCTTCCCTTTGCTTTGAGCGGGCACTACTGGATCTCGTGCCACCTTCACGGCTTCATTATTAGACTGATAAAGTGGCCACTGGAAAATCACTCCACTGTTGTACCTTGCCCCGACTACATCCAGCGCCTGACCTGCTCATAAGACTGGTCGCTATAATTTGCCTAAGGATTCAAACTCCAATTACCAGGATAGATTCATCTCAAATTGTTTTAAGTTGTAAAATCCACAAGTTTCCCAATGAAAGACAATTACTGCAATCTTTTGGTAAACTGAACTCAGTTCAATTACCACACTGGTGGTAGCATTTACGACAAATGATCGACAAGTTTGTCATGGTTTTGTTTATTTAGTCAATTTTGCCAAGGTTTTACCCAGGACAAATTTTGTCAAGTCACGGCAAACCACCCACACTTATAGAGTGTTGGTGATGACAGAAAATTTGTCTATAAACAATTTTGTCGCTAGTGCAGATAGGCCCATACTGAAAGATCTAGAAGTGCAACGCTTTATAAAACAAAAACAGAAAAGGCAGTTCAATCTTATTAGTAATTCTCAGGTTTTGTTTGTATCACCTGCGTACAAACATTGTTTCTATACTACTGTGACACAGTAAAACATGTAGGATTTGTTCAGGCCTGAATTTCAGTAGAATTATCAACTGTATTTGGAGGACAGGGAGAGAGGGAGAGAGACTTATTCAAATGTAAACTGAAGAAGTGTATAGTTTTTATTTTGTTTACTTTTTTGTTTTCTATTTGTTGTGTTATACAAGGCCCTGAAAAGTTACTTTTGCTAATCAACAAATTCTCTCATTTTTGTTTAACACTGTACCAAAGACTTTGAACGGTGAAAAGAATCTTGTAAATTGTACACTGAAAAGCATTCGACCCAGGCAAGATTAAACCACAACAGGGTAACAAAATTTTGAAATACCCTAAAAACAAGTAACATGAACACATGGATGTACTTCTACCAAATTATCAGGTGAAAACAATACACTCAAAAACCAAGAAAATACGATTCACTCTGATGGGCGAAACAATTAAAAAAGGTTTCAACCTAGTAATAAAGAATGATTTTGATTTTTTCCAACACTCATAGGGACTCACCTCGAATCATTCTCCTTAACTTTTGGCTACCAGATTTCTGAAAGAGAAAAGAAATAAAGCACCTGTCAACTTGTCACTCAAGTATCCAACATAACTACAAAAAGATAAAATGCAAATCAGTTAATCTACAAGGTGTGTCAATTAAACTGATTTTTTTTTTGCACGCACCTCAGAATGTTTTTAATAATACAAGTTAAGACATACACACACCTTCATAATCGAAGAGAAATATTCTTGCAGTTCTTTTCCTGAGGAGAAAGAGGGAGGAAAATTTACTGACATAAATTGTCAAAAACTGAGCAATTGTATCACATTTTGTACTGCACTCATCTGTGTATCCAACAAGCACAACAATAAAAAAAGATTGTTTGGATACTAAATTTTGAAGTCAAAACAACAGACCTGTGACTCCATTTATACCTAAAATTTTTTTTGCCTCCAGGTGTAACTCTGGTATTCAATTACATGGACATTGGTAAGAAGATAACATGTTACGAGCATGAAAATGTAATTTTTGAGAAGTAAGCTACAAATTTATCTCTCCTGTCTCAGCGATAAGGATGTAAGTATACAGTATGGTACTTATTATGCTATCTTCTACACTTTTTTTTTTTATACAGCACAGTGTTCCCCTAACTTCTGCAATTCCAGATATTTATGCTAATTACAAAATGGTCTTCATCAAAATATCTAAAGGGACTAGTCTCAAACAATGCTCTAAACCACTGTTGTCTAGTTTGTATGAAGAAGTCTTTAGTTTTAAAAGTGTGAAGACCAAGACAATGTTATAGTTACCGGGAGCAAGACTGCCTTTATGGGTGCATGGTTTGCATACCAATTAACACTTTCAATGTACAGTACATAAAAAAATCATCATGTTTTTCAAAATCATCATTCATCACATTAAAATATCTCATCTGGCTTGAGATTTAAAAACACAACTTCAACCAGAAAATAGGCTATTGCACCATATAATATTGTATGTTTGTAATAGCAAAATAAAATGCTGATGCTTGGTAACAAATTAAAGAAAAATGGAGGACTGTGTATGATGAAGAAAAGCAACAGGTATTAGTATACATGAAACTGTCCAAGAAGAAAAATGTTTTAGTCTTAACAGCCCTAGCTCATACTATATCCATCCTCTAAGAAATCCCTAGCAATATCCAAATGGAAAATTATGAAACAAGCTTAAAAAAGTAAACTGGGCAGCTACTATAGGGACAAAGTGTCCCGAAAGCCATAAAATGGTTATATAGACAACTTGATTCATATGATAACCACATCAAAAACTGTGGGCAACACTGAATAAAGTATGACGAAGCTAACTGAGGGTTAGCCCACAAGTTTTTACAGAGATTTGTAGCTTGGCAGACAGTTTTAATTGTTTAAAAGTTTGCCTTTGGTTTCATCTTACATTAAAGTAAAACTTCTCAAAAAGTAAGTACTAATTAACACACTTTATTTAAGAGAAATTAATTAAAAGCTGCACTTTTAACCCTGGATCATCGCAAACTGCCTTTAAAACAACCTGGCCCTGAGGTTTAAAACACTCACATTTCAATTGACTAATTCACAAGAAATTAATTGTAGAGAGGGTTTGAAAAGTAAATCCTTATGCATATAAATTCCTCCTTTTTATTTTGGAGGAAATACATTTCAGTTAACGTTATCGAGCACATGTTTATTGGTTATTCCAGGAAAAGAAGTCTGATTTCCAGACAATTGACAAACACAAACATTTGGATGAAGAATAACATTCTAATGGGGTCTGAGGATTTAACTACCAGTTATTGAGTACACCTATCATTGAAATCAAAGAAAACAAGACAATGTCTTCTTGGTTTCTTTATTTTTGTCAAATGCACCTTTTAGCACAAATTAATCAAAGATTAAGTCAATAGCAGAGGAGGGTGACCAGTGCTGAATGCCAACAAGACATTCAGGTTGTTTTTCTCAAAATCACCTTAAGATTTCTGTTTTTGAGTCAAGCACCGCTTGTAAACAGTGAATCACGCTCATCCACATGTTGTATGACAATAGCTACACTGAATAGAATTGTGTTGGCCACTTGCATCCTTGCATTCTATTGAAAAGAATGAAATAAACACTGCCCTTTTGTTCTGAAGTAATTTTAAAATCTCAAGAGAGCCAGCTGCAATTTTCAGAAGATTTAACATGTAAAAGCCATTTTATCAAAAAAATCTACCAATTTTGTAAATGGTAATACATAAATATGATTTTTCATCTGGTTTAGATCTTTCTTCCAATGTTGAGAATGGATAAACTTTAACAGACTTCGCTGAAGTTTGAAAACTAATTAACTTCACGGGTAATAAATTCAAACGCACACTTTATCACGTGTGGTTATGAAATAATATTGAAAAATAATTAACTCTTCAAAGTTGAGCTGTGAGACTTATTGCATTTATGTAGAAGAATGTCAGCCTGAAATATGACAGATTTAACCTTTCTTAAGCTACTAAGATACTTCTTTAAGGTTATGGAAATCGCAATTTACAATTTTCCACAATAACCGTAAACAACGCCGATCGTGCCTTTTTGCCGTCAAGAAAACGAATGGTACACCTAACGGAATATATTTTGTAAAGGTATTTAAACACGGAACCTTGCGGGTCTTGAGGCTAAAATATACATGTTGTGCCTTTTAAGAACAAAATCGTTGATTCATAGGCAGAAGGGCGACAACTAACCAAAACCGGTGACCTGATTAACTCGAAAGAGTTGACACGGGTTGATCGATTCATCACAAAAATTGATGACATTTTCAGTTCTCCGATTTCAAATGGTGTCACGAAACACCTTTAATCAGTACTTAAAATCAAATTACCTATTAAAGGAATGTCTCAAAACGCCACAATATCATCGGTGAAATGACGAGAAGCATTCCTTTGACATGAAGTTGAAAATCCTTGACAACGTGTACGGAATTCTGTGAGCGCCGCGCGTTCTTCAATCATATGCAGAAAAAAAAACATTTTTTTCGCAAAGTACACATGCTTGTCGGCTGCACGTTAGTCACCCTAAACTCAGAACATAGTTTGTTCACCTCTGAACTACATATTCTTATTATCGTGAAATAAAACAAAAGAAATCAAAGAAAGTAAAACGTCTGATGCTCACGTTACAATACAACAGACTACAGTCACGATAAGTGTAATGCCCTTTAGTCAAATCCGGATTATAGTTCACGAAACTTTAAGCGTCGAGGGTGAGATATTTAGCTTTCCTGTCCTTAAAAAGATCCTAATTGCTTTTTTTCCTTTATACAGAACCAAGTATCTTTTGAAATTCATTTGAAGCGAAATGGCGATCGTTTGCGACCTATCGCACTGTTCATTTTCACATTTTGCGGGGAGTGCACGGTGTGAGTCAAATTTCCTCTTATCTCTCACTTCTTCACACGTTGCTACACGTAGCTAAAAAGACACTTCGAAACTGTAAAAGGGTCAAAGCATTTAAACACCATTAGGCTGGCTCTACAGAAGAACGACCCTAATGAGCAAACAGATTTTAAATTGGAACGTAATGACCGAAGAAGCACGTACACACGAGCTAGAATCTCTTCGCCCCACGCTAAGAGTGAAAGTTTGCAAGGAAACCGCATTGTCTTTCTTACCTTGGCTGCAACATAAGGTCATCCAGTAAAAAAATGCCCAAAAGCTCAAGAGCATTCCACGACTAAATTTCGTCGAAATTATTTTCCACGACCATTGTAAACTGGAAGAGTATCGCAACAGACTTACTGTGCTGCGTAGATAATTTTAAATAATTCATTCTAAGTATGCTAATACATTTGACTTGTTAATTTATGCCAAAAAGCCAACCCGAAAACGAGGCGGGTCAGTGAGGCTTGCTCAAGTTTAATCAGGTGCAAGATATGGTGCAAGCGGAGAAGAAAAATCTAAGAGCTGAAAAGATTGCAGTTAAGCAACAAGAAAGCCGACGGTTTATCAGGGAATGTGATTTTAAAGACACAGTTACAATGAAGCATCCACCGGCCTTTCCTATTCTATTGATTTACTTTTCAAGTAGCTTCCTTGAATAATGTGGTACCGGTATATTGAACAATGTATTGACTTAGTGTCACTAAAACCATGAAGTTTTAACTTTACTGTAAATTACAACCCGTTTGATGTATCTGTCAAAATCTAGTCGACAATTGGTGAATTAATTTCGACAATTGCGACTAGAGCAGAATCAAAACAACGTCTTTACGCAAGAATAAGCTGGCCTGTATCAAAAATACAGCAGTTGTTTAAAGAAAGAAAGTGACTTGTCGCAGTTTGTAAATGCAGCATTGCGATTTTTTTTTAATTCATCTTTTTTTCCAAGAAATCCCAATCAACAATATCTTAATAACAACAGATTTTGACATATCAAAAAGCTAAACTGACTAAAGAAAGGAAATTACAGCATCATTCACGATAGAGGTAAATCAGGTAATGTGATGATCCTTCGAAAAGTCGACCATTTGTACCAGTTAGCACTATTAAAAAAAAAAACAGTGAAAACACGGTAGAATGGTCTGTAATTTTGAGTGAAAAGAGCTTTTTTATCACTTTAACGATTGAGAACGCAATCGTCTCGTTTTGTTGGTAGTTGTCTCGTTATAATATTTACAAGTCGCACGTCCCCAGCGCGTGTTTTAGAATAGAGCCAGTTTACCTAGTGACATATTTCTTAGATGTTGAAGATAAACCCGTAACTACAAGAGAGAAATTATTAAACTGCAAGAATCGACATGCGTTTAGGATCCAGCGTGAGGGTCCTGATAATTTCCTACATTATTTATCAACAGGATTGCAGACGACTATGAAACTTTCATTCACGACATTTATTTTTAAAAACACGTGAAAGTTGTGACTTACAAGAAAGCAATCAGGCGAAACAAATGAACACTGCTTAATATTTGATATAATTGAATTGTCTTTGTTTATGGCAAGTCTCAGTTCATCAATAAATCATTGAGTAATTTTTTGCCCTTTATTACATTTTGTTTTCCTCGCTGTAACCGAAAATGCAAAGAAAATAACTCGATCTGTTTTGTGTTAAAAGGAAATCCTCGTTTCCAGATGATGCGTCAAATTTGTCATCGTGGGAAGTTCTGTCTCTTTGAATGTCTTTTTTTGCTAACGTAATCTCAGAACAAAAGTTAAAATATAGGCATTAAAGGAAAAAGGTTACTCATTTTTATTGTAAGAATTTTGAATAAATATCTCCAAGAGACTTTGGGCAACAGAAAACGGCGTGTTAATTTTACAGGTACTTATCCAACATGAATGATAACAAAAGTGACAGAACCTCATAGAAAGAATCGACATTTCTTCTTCCTACCTCCACCTGACATCAAAGAATGTACCAAAATCCACACAACTTCAAAAGAGAGACCTTCGTTCTTGTAAATCTTCAAGAATTTTGGCCACCTCAGACACGGCCAGCTAATGGGGGGTAAATTCCAGTTTTTCGGTCAAGAACAGTCATTTGCCTCGGTCACCAAAGAAGTGGCAAATAGATGCGGCGATTTTAGTGGAAGGCGCAATTTTCCATCTAAATGTTACGCAGCTTAAAGAGTTGCCATAGATATTCTGCTAAGCACTTTTCTGTAAAATTGGTACCTCACGTAACGCGGTAAACTGAAGCGACTTGAGGTGTGTTCAACGTTTGAATGCGCTGACCAAAGCAGTGTGCTTGTCACATGTAAAAAACCGAACTCTCGTGCAAATGGTGGACCAAAGAAATTGACACCAGTGAGGATTTCACCCGCTTTTAAAAGACATTTCGCATATTTTTGGCTCAAATTTAAAAAGGATTTCTCATAACGGTCGATCAATAATTTATTACAGGTACTGAAGACTTTTACGTAAGTTACTGTTATTTACCGGCCCTTTCTCTGAATATTTCAACAACAAAAATAGCCTAGAATTCAAACAATTTTTCCTTTTGCTTCTGTTTGTTGTATGTGGCTGTGTATCTGAGTTGTTCTATCGCTAATTTGGAAAAATAATCGATTGCATTTTGAGAGACCGTTTCCAATTTATAATTAAAATTGATAAATCTCTTGCCGACGGTTGCCTGATAAAATTCAAATTCACCGCAATCTTACGTCTTCGTTACCTTTTAAAAGCTTGATAAAAGAGATAAGAGAATTTCATGGAAACAATAAGCAAATGTAAGATTTGGGTATTTCACTTACAATGAATAACATTTTATTTACAAAAATCGTCAAATCTTTTTTGCCTCAAGTTGTCATGTTTCCAACAATTTTCTTGGAAGATGTCTTGTTTAAGCGCAATAATTTCGTGTTTACTAGAAGAAGATACCCCCAGTCACCCCTCCCTTCGTATAGGATACTGGATTTACTTCTATCCCCATTCCACCCCGTCCAGCGGACATCACACAACTTCAACCCGTGACTTAAACACGAAGGCGCGCTATAAAGGGAGCCTTAGGTCCCACTGGACCATTTTTCAATCAACCGTCGTGTGATGTAGAACTCTAAGAGTCAAGTCAGCTTGAGCTACAGCTACTCCAAAGTAGTAAACAGCGAGCGCATTCCTCAAAATTATTTTATGTCTTCATCACAATACAAGAATTTTTGAGATTTGTATTTCCTTTCTCCAATTGAAACTGTCTTTATTTGTGGCGGTAAATTTGAGATCGAAGTCAGCGGTTCACACGTTACCTCATGCCACCATGCTGGTGGAAGTAAACAATAGATATTTCATAAGCTCCTTTTGTTCGTCAACCAGCATTTAAATTTGACCCGCACACGTCAACGGTGAGTGACAAATGAGCCTAGGTCTTCCCAGGGAAGACTTCCTTATATAGCGCGCCTTCGTGTTTAAGAGATCTGAATAACCAAACATGTCATTCCCAGTCCACCATCAGCTCCTCCTCGTCAGTTACCTTTCTTTTAGCATTATGGTATTTCAATCGCCAAAAACTAATAAAGCTTTGTATCTGTAAAAAAAGAAAAAGAAAAAAAAAAAAGAAAAAAAAAAGAAAGAAAATCCACGTGTTGATTCAAATCGTATTAATACGTAGAAATAAAGAAATGATTTGCATTTCTTTATTTGAGAAATTGAAATCTTTGTCCAAATTACCTTCCGCTAACCAACGGTAGCGCTTCTGGATGATTCTCACCGAGTATCTGCGTCACTACTCACGTAAATGCAGAACAATTCCTTTTTAATCTCTTCTGGTGTTTTAATTTAAGGTAATCGTGTGTTCGCTTCGCCACAGGAAACCCAAACATCGTGGTTCCGGCAATCAACCAAGGGGCATATCGAAATCAAAACAAACCTTGCAAATGTCAATATTTGTCTCAAATGTAGGCAATTTCTGTTTTAATCTATAAACTGACGTTTCAATTGTTGCAAAAATCATCACTTTAATCAGCTGGCGTCACATTTCTTCGCTGTTCTTTGTAAAACTTCTATTTCAAACGTTATTCAGTCTTACATACACTGCAATTTTCTGTGTTTCGATAGCAGCGTACTTCATGTCTTTTGCATTTGATGCTTTTTACCTCCAATCCAATATAGTTCAATGTTTAGTTTATCCAAGCCTGTTTGCAAAAATTTAGCTAAAACAAAAAACCTTGTACGACTAGTTTGATCGTTCAGTTTATTTTTACAGACAGAAACTTGGATTACTTTACATCTTTTTTCTATTTAACCGTTCTCCAGGTTTACAGATGAGGTATCACAGTCAGAAACAGGCTGTTTTACAACTTGAAGTATTTTTCCATAAAAATATTGTACATGAAAATGAAGCAATTCACACAAGCGACTTCAAAGCCTCGTTTGCATGCTCTTTCAAGATACAAATGGACATCATGACTGCAGGGTCAGCTGCGGTGTAAGCTGTGCAGTGTAGGGACAAAATGTAAACTCCTAACTCCTTGGCACTTCTTCTTTTCAGTCGGAATCTGAACCTTCACTTATATCCACGTCTTCAGATTCTTCTTCTTCTTCATCTTCTTCTTCCTCAGACTCTTCTTCCTCCGATTCCTTTTTGCTTTTGCTCTTGGATTTTTCCGGTTTAGATTTTGCTTTAGGTTTGGCTTTGAGTTTGGGTTTAGGTTTGCTTTTCTGTGAAAGCAAATTAAATAGGAAATCGTAAAATTGTATGGGAGATCTTAAATGGAAGAGCAAAGTGATTCTGAAACGACAGCCAGCTTCGGGCTCGTACCCAATTGACTCTCGTTTTTCTCTGGAAGCGCGAAAGCTGTGAACCACTCATAGCAAAATTCAGTGAAAACCAATCTCTCCCTACGTGCTTCTTTATTAAATAAAAATCAAAGGAAATTTTGGTAATCAAGGGAAACGATCACTAAAACTCTAAAATGCTTCAACAGATATTTTGTCAAGTTTTACGGATGTTCGTAAACATATAAACAGCTCACCTTCTCTTCCTCTTCTGAGGAGCTATCGTCAGTTTCTACAAATTCCGCGCTCTTGAATTTCTGTGACTCGCCACCGCCAGCTTTCCGAGGAGAAACAGTTTTCTTTTTATCTCCTTTCTTATTAAAGAACTCCTTTACGGAACCCTTCTTACTCGGTTTCTCATCTGGACTATCATTTGGTTCGTTAGCTTTCTTCTCTTTGTACACCTTCATTGCTTCGTCGTATTTCTTCTTCGCTTCTTTGGCCATTTCCTGCCATTTCTAAACACGAAAATAAATGACCTAGTTAGAAGCGACTTAAAAGGAACTAATACTGGCAATATCATTACATTTACAAGAAGTAAGGCGATGGGAAGACAGAAAAATGGCGTTTGCCTCAACACTAACTTCCTAGAGCTAAAACCGTAAGAAAAGTACAGCTCAGGTTGTAGAGCGTCTGGCCTGCCCTGCGGGAGGTCAGGGCTTAGAGGCACAGACTAGACCAACACTCAGGGTGTTAAGTAACTGAGGAGACAGCGCTACCTTTGCTATCGCATCTGCAAATGGTTAGAGACATACTAGTCTTCTCGGATAGGGACGAAAAACCGTTGGCCCCGTCTCCTGCGTCTTCTCTTTACTAGTTAGCAGGGGACGTTAAGGAACCTACTTATACTTCGCACAAAGAGTAGAGAACGTAGTTGCCGGTGTTTTGTTTTCGCCTTGATCCCGCAATTGGAGGCAGTTACAAAAATTCCCTTCAAAAATTGTAAACCCCTCGGTGCAGTCTGGTCATAGTCCCCCGCAACATGTTGTAAAGCATCATGAGCTGAGGGACGTGGCGCGATAGAAATCCTTCCTCATTATCATTATCGAAATCTAAGGGGTGAGAGGATCCCTTACTGTTTTATCATCAATTTTCTTCCACTTCTCTCCCGCCACTTTGGACAGCTCTGTCACCGAGATTCCAGGGTTTTCCTGCTTAATTTGTTCCCTAATTTCATTGAGCCATAACATGTAGGCAGACATCGGCCGCTTGGGGGCATCAGCGTCCTTCTTCGCTTTCTTTTTCCGTTTGCCTTGAGGTGGTTCATCCGCCTGCAAAACGCAACCAAGGTTAATGCAATTTTCAACAGAGTGTCGAAATCAATCCGGGATTGCACATTGTGTTTGCTCGCGCCATCGTTTTAACCAATCAGATGCGTACCACAAACCCAATCATGATTTGGGCAGCCGCGTTTTCCCGCGCTTCGGACGGTCGGCTTGTTTTCACTTTGAGCTCTCATTGGTTCCTTACAATATTCGCCTTTGCTTTGATTGGCTCTTGCGACAACTTTGGTTTTTGTTGAACGACATTCATAGGAAACTCTTCTATAAACTATATCACACTCTCTACTTCGAATAATTCCTGCTGGGAAAATAGAGCATGATGATGACGGAGATGAACGAGGCTCCAAGCTCTGTTTCAGATCGGCTCTTGCTTGCTTGTACAGCGACTAACTAGAAATATTAAATTTGAAGTACATCATTACTGTACTGGCTGAAACAAACAGACTTTTGATTTCCCTAGCGGTACAATTCAACTTTTTGATTAAAAAAAAAAACAACAACAACAACAACAACAATTACTAAGACAAAACTAAGGCCTTCGAGTTTCGTGGTCTTGTTATAAAATCAGTCAACACAGAAAAAACTCTGAAAGGTATCCAATGGGTAGGGTATATGCAAAAGTTAAGCCTGAAAATGAAAGGGTGAAATTCCTCACTTTCCATGAGCCTTACGTATCGTTAATTGCAAAGCGACGTTTCTCGTGGGGCAAAAAGGAAAGGGGAAAGCACACATTCTGCAACTGAAAGGTTCAAAACCAAAAGACAGAGCTGTAAGATTTGTCAGGTAAACACATACTGAAATCTTGGCCTTCTTTTTCGGTGCAGGGCTCTTGGATTTTTCAGCTTTTCTTTTCTTTTCCGGTGACTTCTTCTTCTTTTCCTTTTCTTTGTGCTTCGGCTTGCTTTCTTCTTCAGATTCTCCTCCACTTTCTGAAGAAGACGGGTCGCTCTCGAATCTAGTACAAAATTATTTTAAAATTAACCACGAAATGTCCCCGTGCAAGACCTCGATCAGCTAGGAATAAAGCTACGGTCAATCGACTTCCCTTAACCCTCCATACCCCAACATCAGTAAGCATATTCTCCATACCGTTCCCTGTAAAATTCCCCATGTGTTGACAAGGAGAATTTGTTTAACAATCAAGACCTTCTTTAGTTGGCGGTCGTTTCCTTTATTCTCGTGACCTTAAACACGAAGGCGCGCTATATAAGGAAGTCTTCCCTGGGAAGACCTAGGCTCATTTGTCACTCATCGTTGACGTGTGCGGGTCAAATTTAAATGCTGGTAGACGAACAAAAAGGAGCTAATGAGAAAANNNAATTTTGAGGAATGCGCCCGCCGTTCACTGCTTTGGAGTAGCTGTGGCTCAAGCTGACTTGACTCTAAGAGTTCTACAACACACGACGGTTGATTGACAAATGGTCCAGTGGGACCTAAGGCTCCTTTTATAGCGCGCCTTCGTGTTTAACGTTGATTCAAGGGTGATCCTGTCAAAAAAAAAAAAAAAATAGGTGCTTGGCATTCTCAGGGGTCAAAGGATCAAAAACTGGCCACAGGAGTATCTGTCTTTTTAAAATATTGCAGAAAGATTTTACCTTCCCTTCAGCCCGAAAACACTCCTCTACGCAGAAAATGTTTTTGTGGGGTAAAACAAAAATACTCACTCCTCTTTCAAATCCTGATCTTCTCCGCCGCTTCCGGGATTGAAGGACTCGTCTGACTCATCTGTAAACAACAGATTAGAAGGAAAGAAAATAAAACAAATTCCGTTATCTCAACAAATCTAAGCGAAGAAACAGGGTTCAAAATCGTCAATACTACTAACACTTGACTTTCCATCACCTTTAGTGTTTCCTATGGCTATAGATCGATGGCTGGATTCAAAATAATATGAAAGCAATCATTTGATGGATGGATTTTTCTCTTGACTCGAAAAAGTTCCTCTTGTTTCGTGCACATCGTACCCAGAGTTCCACGCGGCACGCTAATATCACTTTATTTAATTTAATTGATTTTTTTTCATTCGCGCATCGGACTTCGCCGAAAAGAAGTGACTGCTCGAAGTCGCGGTGAATCGTCAAATTTCTTTACTTTCCACGAGCCGCAATCAAATCCCACGACTTTTCAGGGCTGGAAAATTGCAGAACTTTCCAGGTTCTGACAACAAATTTAGAGAAATATGTCCTGTGCGAACTTTGAATAACTAATGCAAGAGGGCAAGTTACCCTTTCTACGCGCACAAAATATAAATCTTCTTTGTCGAATACTACCTTTGCGTCGTTTGAAGCACTAACAGTCAGTTGAAATTTGATCAGTAGAAAAGGAAACAGTTGAGACGAATTTTGAGTAAACTAAGGATGGGCCAGTGGTATTTCCTAAATGAGCTGACAAGTTTTTAAATTATCGGTATCTGCCCTCGAGGCAGCGTGTGAAGTAAAAGTTGCTTGCTTATCACACACATACCTTCGCTTGACTCCGACTCTTCGTATTTCTCAGCCCCCTCTGCCTTCATCTGCTCCAAATATGCATCGTGAGAATCTTCGTCTGAGCCGGGCATCAATTCGTCTTTATACTGCTTCGATGACGCCTTCGATTACACCACAAAAATAAATATATAAATGAACAAATAAATAACAATTATGGCGATGAGAACATAAAAATAAAAAACAACAATTTTGCTGTTTTTTTTTTTCTTTCAAAATCCAAGCTCGTTTTGATAGAATTAAATGTTGTATACACGTAAAACGAGAGGAACCATAAGAGAAGACGCAAATTAAACCGCAGGATTTCAAAAGGACTAGAGGAAGAATGCTGTAACACTAAAGCTAGCACTGCTAATTAGTGCCAGACCTCCGGCAAACCTCGCCCCGACTCGTCTCCAATCTTCCCACGGGCGGGGCAAACGCACCTCCTGCACGTCCTGGGTATTTTTCAAAATAAATTACTGACAAGAAAGTAGAAAACCTTATTGTTTAAAATTCTGCAGCGAGTCCTATTTGTAAGTACTAACCTTTCCTGTGTTCTTTATCCTCAGGTGCTTGCCACTGACAAAATCGAATAGTCTACCATATTCCTCCCTGAAATATAATGCAAGACAAATGACAATCTCTCCAGCTACTTTTAAAACCCGTTACGTTTTCGTAACTCCAGTTGTTTGTAATATTCTTCCTTTAAAACGTTGCAATGAAAATTGGCGTGCGGCTGACAAAATTTTATTCGTTTTGCGCATGCTCTCTTTATTTGTGGACAGTCAATAGTTAATGAGATGCGTCAGAAAATTTCTTCGATAATTGCTTGACTTCCTGCAGGTTCCACTTACTTTTCAATGCTACTAAATACATAACTGCCCGACTTTGTCTCCACCTCAAAATCAAATGATCGACTGGAACCACCTCCCCCTGCCACACGGGCAAAGTTCACTGAGGAGATCTCATCAAAGCGAATGTGTACGGGGGGCTTGTGCACAAATATAAACCCTCTTTCTAAAGGGTATAGCATTCCACTGCCAGCTCTGTATGAACACGTGATACAGCTCATTCCCGCATGACTGAAAAACAGAATAAGAAAATACGTTCATAATAGAGTCAATTTATATTCCTCTGATGGATTTGTGTCATAAGTTGAATTACTAGAAACTGGCCTTGTTGCAGGTGATAAGAAAATTCAAACATTTCACACTAGACAACTTAGAGGGGTACGTCTCTGGTGCACAGGGGAAAGAAATGTTTAACAAGTCGTCCTGTCCAAATGTTCAGTCTCTAAAAACACCTGAAAATCAGTAGATTAATACGCACCTTCTAAATGTACCAGGTACCGTTATTCTTCTACCGACAACTGCCTTCATCAGTCTGCTCACGATCTCATAGATTGGACCATCCATTTCTTGAGTTATCTTCCCTTCATATTTTTCATTTAACTCCTCCCTAAATTGCAAGGAAAATAATGCATCAAAACACGCGAGGAATTGGGTGTAAGATGTCCGTGCCAGGCCTTCTACTGTAAAGTTGGATTAATGGCCAACCTGCCACACTTGCGCAACTGATGAGGGGCTAACGCTCGAAACTTCAGCTTCAGAAAGTCTTTACGGTGGCCAATTTATCTTGTAATACCCTTCTCCCACCAACGCAGCGCTGCAGTTTCTTTAGAAACTCACCCCCTTTATTCAACTAAAAGACAGTACTACTACTTTGCCACACTCACCGACTTCTACAATTCTCTACCCTCCGAACTTTATTTCCACAAGTAACACTATCTTTAACAGGTTTTTTTAACCAGAAAGTACAGGAAGATAAGAAAAAAGTTTGATTTGTTTACTTCCATGAAACTCCTTCACTTACTCTGACAAATTTAGTTTCACATCAATGTCGTCATCTTTTCCAAACTGTATGATCAGGAATGGATATCTTGTTTGGCCTTGTTTAATTGGAGGATCCATGCTTACCTATAATGCAGCAAAATAATTATTTTAGGGTAATCCATCAACTACTATAGGAAAATACATTACTCGACTCGTGAATTCCGCATCAAATTGCACGAGTGCGATATCAGTTTTCAAGTGCAAGTTAACGCAGAATTCACGAGTCAACGAATGAATTTTCCTTGAATTGCATAATTGAATAACAATGAGAAAAAACAGACAACAGCATTACTTATAGTTGCTATGTATACGTAGAAGCGAAACGATATCACTTAGCCTCGTTTTCAACTCGCAATTCCACGCTAAATACCTCGCTTCGTTAACCAATCAGACTGCGATATTTTATTCAATGATGCGATTCTAAGTTCAAGGGAGAGGGTGATGCATGTTATTTATTTTCCAGTCTGTCTAATTTTACTTGAAGCTTAGCTTATGATACCTTACTTCGCTTCTGTAATCATTTCTCGCAGTTTGTGGTTCACTTTTAAGCTGTCAACTTTATGATACTTGGTTTTTTATGTTTGTTTAGTCAAAGGGAGTGAAACAGTAAAGGTCGCAGGACTGGACTGTCTCTGCTGAATAACTCGATAAGAAATCTCCTTAAGGAGACACAATGTCCCTTTACGCTGTACTGGCCCTGCTGGTATCTACTTGCATAGCATAACTTACCACAAAGAACATAAATCTTTGGTCTTTGTGAGGTAAAAGGAAAAGACGCAACACGGATGTATAGGGAATCTTGTAGTCATAAGTTTTGCCGTGAAGTTGAAGAAATGAAGGGAACACTTTCATTGTGTATCGGCCCCTAAAAACAAAAAGGAGCAAAAGACGACATTAATATGCAACGGTAGCTTCTACTGCCTTGCCTTATAAAACAGGACAACTGTAATTCAAGACAATCCTGTAAATTGAAAATTAATCAAACAAAAAAAAAAAAAACAATTTTCAGTTGACAGTCACAAGTAACCAAGGATTATAATGGCGTTGCTTTAATTCACTGTAATTGGTCTAACAAATTTGTGCCTCTCTCTCACCCAATCAGATACAAAGCTAAATCTAATAGTATTGACAAACAGACCCATCTTAGAATTGTCGTGAAGTAGGCAGTTTTCTTGTTTTTAGACTGAGTCCTTACTTAGTTTCTAGTGATATCCTCTTTTGTTCTGATTTGTGACTGTGATTACTTCCCACAGCATGGAGTTTTACAACTCTCTATACACCAGGGTCCAGTTGTTCGAAGGTCGATTAGTACTAATCCAGGGTTAAATTTTGATTCAGGTTTCCTTATTTCTCTATTCAAGAACCTTTATGAGATAATTTTCCCTGTTCTTTTTAGAGCATCCGATCATCAAATTGTTGACACAAAATAATTAAACGGAACTTTCTCCTAAAGCTTTCAGATCTGAAATCAAATTTCACGCTAACCCTGGGTTAACTTAACTCAGCTTTGAACCAACCCTGCCCAGGTCAAGAGATTCATTTTCAAAGTAGAATTACCTTGGGGTCAAACAGGCAACATCAGGTATTGTAACAATGGCATCTCCTGTTGCTTGAATTATGTCTGCTTTTTCAAGAACTTTTTGATGGAAATTCTACCAACAACAAAAAAAACAAAAGCAAAAAAGATTTATTTGGATAAACCAGGTTATTAAACATAGTGAGTTTCCAGTGGAAATCACCATGTCCTTTTTGTCTGTGGGTGTTCAATCCACTATAAATTCCAGTTAGTCTACTCACAACATAGATGTCCATACTTCTAAACTAAAATGTGAAACAAAAAGGGAAAAAACTCATGCTTATTCACAACCTAATTTTAGCATGCATATTCTCCATACTGTTCTCTGGACATTTCTTTGGTGCTGACAAGGAGAATTTGTTTAACAATCAAATTAAGCTTCTTTCCCATATTCTTGTGACCTTACTATTTATTTCTGGGATGATGTTTTAAGATGAAATTAGATCCCAGTCCCTCTTAAGAGTTTAGGGGTTAAGTTTCTATAACATAAACAGATTTGCATGATTGCTTCTTTGAAATCAATTTGACAAATGAAATGCTTAGCTTGGCACAGATTTAAGACTATCATTCTATGGACATGACATATTGAACTTGCTCTTCCTCATACTCAAAAATCTGTATTTTTCAAATGAAGAACATACCTTGACTGGGTCTTCTGTTGGATTATCTGCAGGTGTTGGGATGTAAAACCTCATCTCCATCAAGCAGATCTGTGCATCATCATTTTGATGAAACTCAAGTGCCACTTCATTTTTGCCTGTTCATGAATAAAATAACATAGCATATGACCAATTAAGGTTTTGTTTAAAAAAATCCTTACACACATAGTAGTCTTAAACTGAGTGAGGGAGGAAACTCTACTTTCAAGTATCTCTACTGTCAAATCACACGGAACATAATTCGGTGATAATAAGGTAAAGTTTAAGACACGTTGTAACCTACAAGTTACCGACACTTCACCAACAGGTCACCAACAGTCGGCTGACTGTCGGCCGTTTGTCGGTCGACTGTCGGCTGACACTTTTGACCAAAACTGTCAGCAAACTGTTGGCCAACAGTTGGCCATTTGTCGACCGACAGTTGGCCGACAAACGGCCCACTGTCGGCCAACAGTCGACTGACAGTCGACAAATGACCAACTGTCGGCCGACAGTGAACCGTCAGTTGGCCGACAGTCGACCAACAGCTGGCCGACAAACAGCACACTGTCGGCCGACAGTCGACCGACAGTTGGCCAACAGACGACCAACAGTCGGCTGACAAATGGCCCACTGTCGGCCGACAGTGAACTGACAAACGGCTGACAATCGGCCGACAGGTTTTTTGGGAGCTTCTTCTTAACAATTACCCATAATTCAACACATCTAAAAGGTTTGCTGGACTCGATTAGAAAATAAAAGTGCTACTAAAGGGCCAAATAAATGTATTAGTGAGAGTTAACAATGACAGAATTTGTTTCCCACAATTCTGAATCATATTGGCTAGCCATGCAAGTGTCTACAAGATGGGAAGTAAAGTTTTTTTTTAGTCATTATTATCATTATATTATTACTTCCTTTTGCATACTTCTTACTGCATGGACATCAGTGTCAGAACAAAATATTTTTATAACATAACCAAAGTAAAGGGCGCGCTCTGATTGGTCAATTTAGCGTCCCCCATTTGCCCATGGGTGTACGCTGCTGACGTGAGCAAATGCAAAGACTATTTTTCCGCGCGCGCTTGTTTTTT